AGTCTTAAAATGTTGGATCGATCCACGAGAAGCCGTAATGTTGAGATTCAATCCGTGCCGGAGAATAATTCAGAGAATCTGGCTGCTATACTCATGAAATTATGTGAAGTCATTGATGCCTCTATTTCGGACAGTAACATACGAGCGATTCGGCGTGTAGATAGATTGAAACCATCGGAACGTTTTCGTTATATTTAAACACTACCTTCAGAACGTCACTTCAACTTCAGGGAAAAGCAAAATATAATGAAAATAAAATGTTTTGAAATATGCCGCGGAAACACTTCTCTAGCAAATAATTATGGCGTCTTATAGGCAGTTGACGTCACATGGACTCTCATTAGAACATCAAACAGATCAAAGTAATGTCACTGACAGCATGTTTACAAGTAGATGGCATAATTTTAGGCTCCACCTATCCTATGCGTTTTCGATCACGTGACAATAGACCAATACTTTTTTATTTCATGATTTTTGATGAATTTTAGTAATATTATGAATAACTTTTTTTGGCAGAATAGTAAAATCGCTCCATGAAATCATGTTAATAGCACATGTAACAAATTTGGTACTAAATTTTTCATACAATCATACATAGAATACAAGTAATTACGTGATTGGTATGGGTGAAAATATAAAAACGTAATTAATTTGTACTGTAATAAAACAGTAATTTAATTGCAGTCCGTTTAAATTTAATACAGTTAAATAGCTGTTACTAAGATTATTTTCTCATAACTCAGCATAAACTTAATTAAACAGTGACACGAGTTAGCTAATTTGTAAGTGGGTCAGTCGTGACTAGAATTTTTCAGCCCCAAACTAATTATTCAACGTGACTAAATGTTTTAATAAGAATTGGAGAAGTGCTTTTGTTTAGTTTAATACTTAAACTAAGTAATGCTATTAAAAGCTTAAACAAATAAATCATGTCGTCTTTATTTTTTTATCAAATAAATAGCAAATTACCCTCACTCTGAAAAATAGCTAAATTATTGTGAAACATCTAAAATTATGTTTTTGGAATTTTGTACCCAAAGGGTAAAGATGTCACTCTGTCGTCAGTCTGTCTGTCCGTATTTCACGGCTCTCTAAAGCTTAAACAGAATGAGTTATAAAACAGAAATTTTAGTGTTTAATGTAAATACTTGCCCAAAGACGAATATTTAGTTTAAAATTAAACTAAATTATTATTAGTGGGGTCCCATACATGAAAAGAAGACGAAATTTTGTTGCAGTTTTTGAAGGAATGCCAGGTAATATTAGGTACTTTAAGTTGAAAAGGGAAGAAAGGGGAGGGTTGTGTGCCTCGGTGTAATAACCTGTTTACGTTGATTTTATGAATATTATAAAATGCTTTAACTCACTTAAAAATAAAAATACCTGTGATTTATTTGGAATGTCTATTAAAATTGCTAAAATTATAATAACAGTTATCGCTCCATATCTTGCAGATATATTCAATAAGTGTATTGATCAAGGTGATTTTCCAAACCTTATGAAATATAGTTACAGACCTATATGAATATTACCGGTATTAAGTAAAATTTAGATCAATTATTATCGCATGTCAGTTTGAATAAACTGTTACATAATAATCAATTTGGCTTTACTAGGGGTAGATCAACAACGGTTGCGGGTGTTGCACTTATTAGATATATAATGGAAGCCTGGGAGAAGTCGCAGAATGTTCTTGGGGTATTCTGTGACTTATCCAAGGCGTTTGACTGCGTTGAGCACCAGACGCTAGTGTTAAAATTAAACGCAGCCCAAAACTTGCTACTATCCTATCTCAGTTCCAGAGTTCAAACTGTAGAGGTAAATGGTATTAAGTCATATGGATCTTATGTGAAAATAGGCGTTCCCCAGGGATATTAGGTCCGTTTCTATTTTTATTGTACATAAATGATTTGCCATTTTTTGTGGAAAAATTGTGTGAGATCGTATTGTTTGCTGATGATACTTCTTTATTACTTAAGGTTGACCGATACAAGAATAACTTTGACGATGTAAATAATGCTCTCCTACAAGTACTGCACTGGTTTAATGTAAATAACTTAAAATTAAATGCAAATAAAACCAAATGCATTAAATTCACTTTACCTAATGTTAGAAGCGAAACCATTAGAATTAAATTAAACAATGAAAACCTAGATTCAGTTAAATCATCGATATTCTTAGGTATAACCATAGACTCGAAATTGCAATGGTATCCTCATATTTCTCTGCTAGCTGATACACTTAGTTCAGCAGCCTATTCCATACGTAAAATAAGACAACTTACTGATGTAGCTACTTCTAGAACTGTATAATTTAGTTACTTTCATAGTATTGTATCCTATGGTATTATTCTCTGGGGATCAGCAGTCGATATTGAAACTTTATTTATCTGGCAAAAAAGAGCTATAAGGGCTATTTATCAACTTAGTTCTAAAACATCTCTTAGAGAAAAAATTAAAGAAATCGGGATTTTGACTGTTGCTTTACAATTCATTTATAATTGTATACTTTTTGTTCGAAGCAATATTAACTATTATCTCAAACATAGTGACATGCATTCTTTTAATACAAGGAATAAAAATAAACTCAAGATACCAAATTACAGGTTACAGAAGGTTCATAAATCATTTATGGGTCAAAGTATACATTTCTATAATAGGATTCCTATTGATATCCTTGATTTGCCTCCTCATAAATTTAAAATACACATTAAGAATTGTTTAGGTACTTAAGAAAGGATATTATACTGTCAATCAATATTTGAATGATAAAACGGTTTGGTTGTAATTTTACCTGTAGATAATTTTTCAAAAGTTATATTAAAACTAAGGCTCTCAGCCTGAGAAAGAGTTTTGAAGAGAACGTTGCACTTACTCCCTTTCATATACTTGTTCATTTTGTTTTGAAATTTGTTTCTTGCTATTTTGGGACTTATCTTTGCACTTATTGTTAGTAAATTTGTTAATTGTCTATTGTTACATATTTGACATTATGTGATGGAAGTTGACCTCAACACATGTTTGCAAGTTTGATGTCAACTTTCAATTGGACGACACTGTATGAAATAAAACAGGGAGAAAAAAGCAGCCCTTGCTGAGTTTCTTGCCGGTTCTTCTCAGTACAAGGTCTCCCACCGTAGATTTATGAACTGATGGCGTAGCTTTTCAACATTCACAAGTGCTTGTAACAGCCTAGACTGAATAAACGATATTGAATTTTGATATTTTTTTAATTTTAATCTAAAAGCCCAAGACATGTCAGAAGTTTTTAAGTATTCTAAGAATTTTGACACTTGTTCCCTAATAAAGTGGAAACGGGTATCTGTCTTGTGTGATGATGTGCTTCGTCTTGTTACGGTGGACAGGGTTATATATAATATTAAAAGCACTTTGACTGTCTCACAATATCTTTATAGAATGTAATTTACCTGTAATTTCCGATATTAATCGACGCGAGTAACACGCTTCCTTTGTAGCAGCTGTAAGTGCCATTGAATTCAGCTTCCGTGGATGAAAGCGCTACCGTAGATTTCTTCTTCGCCTCCCATACCACTGGTCCGCTAACTTGAACACGTAGCCCGTGTACGAACACCTGTCAATTGGAAAATTTGCCTAGTCGGCATTAAAATACCTCACTAAGAATTGACCAGTTTTTCTATATTTTATAGAATAGTATACCGTTCCCTTGAGATATTGCAGTATCCTTTTCGCTATTTGCCAATGTTCTATCGTAAAGCATGTGTTAAACTTGCATAAATAACTTACCGTGTATGCAATATCTGGAGTGACATTACTGCCAGATACATAATACATTAAGTATATGACAAGGCAACACAAGTGAATCGCCATCCGACGTCTTTTCTAGCTTCTTCTGAGCTATAGGAGTACTTGCCATTTTACAGTCATGCATGTTGAACTTCTTTAATACGGACAAAATATGGTTTGACTGACTCACTTTTACTCCAATAATAATAATCACCATTGCAATCTATTTCCCGTCCCAGATAAGATTTCAAAATACCGAGAGGTTAGGTATTAACAGTGATTCTGTTGTTAAGGCACTTTAGTAAAAAATATCATGGCACCCGGAGAAGATACAGTAAGTAAGTCGATTTTCTCGTCAGTTCGCACCTTCAGCCTTTTTAATACAGATTTTTACCATGTACCTTGTTTTTAGCGAGTTTCCGATATAATATCCGATATAAAAAACAAGGTACATGGTACCAATCCCGTATTTCCGATATAATATCGGAAACTCGCTAAAAACAAGGTACATGGTAACAATCCCGTAAATAACTTATATTACTATAATGTTAGTGACCATGAAAGTTTAAAACAATATATTTTTAATAGAGATGGTTATTCTACGTGGAAATTTAAAATTCGTAATTATTTGATCCACGAGGACTTATGGCAATCAGTAGCTGGTTATCCAAGTGATGACAAGACGTCAGAATCCATAAAGGCTAGGAATGATTGTAAGGCACTTGCAAAGATATGCTTAACTGTCGACGGCGAAGCAATTATTCGCATAAGCTGTGCAAAAACTGCTGCCGAAGCAGGGACGTATTTGCAGATTGTTTTCGAGGACAAGGGAATAGGACGGAGATAAGCACTAGAGCGGAAGCTTTATATAATATGCTTATCAAATGTCAAGGACGACTTCTTACGACAGTGTTTTGCAAACCAAAGTTACCATTGCTGGATGACATCACTGATTAATGCATACTACATCTGTAAATAGAAATATTATTTTCAAGTTTCATTTGTCTTACATGGCTATACGAATCATAAAGTATAAACAGTGATGTTGCAATATATTTTGCTCATTTCATAAGACAAATAGCCTATATAAATTATCGAGCTTTTTTGCGCAATAATATTAGGTATTTACATAGGAACGTTATAACAACTTTATTACATAACCAATGAAATACTGGTAAATTAAATTGCAGCTATGTTTAAAATTTTTTTTTTCTAATAAAACCTTCACCCCCACAGTGTGTCGCCAAGACAGTGGCAACAGCCGATCCAGAGATCAAAGCACCGTATCGGAATCTTCGAGGAGGTTTCGCACAGAGTTCCTGGAAGACTGGCCCCACACCCCAGGGGCGCCTTATTTCGACCCAAGCACACCGGACAACGTGACAGGCCTCGTGGGGCACCCGGTCACGCTCCTTTGTAAAGTTAAAAATTTACAGAACAGAACGGTGAGTACCTTACTAGCAACTCACCTACCATCTCGTTTTTAAACATAGTTTTTACTCCAGTCTTTGTACATGACGCTTATTTTATTCAAATAATGAATTGAAAGAATGTTAAATATACATAAAGCGCAGGATCTCAAAACTTTCCGATTCATTCAGAAATAGCTAGTTTCACACAGATATTAAAAAAATGCCGGCGTGACTGTGGTTACTGTGGCGATTAGTGAAACAAATAACTTTTAAGCCCCTCCGCAGGCATATTTTGTGAGAAACATTGGAACTAAACCAAATATATTTCACAAAATTCTATAGTTAATCTTTATAAACGTATGAAGTAGTTCAAGATTTTGTTTGACATTAAGGCACCTCGCGCAACTATCAGATTAACTAAAGAAATCAAAAGCCGAGTTTAGTTAATCTGGTCGTTGCGGCGACTGGGCGTGGGTCGTGGCCATCTAGTGTGCGAGGTACAAGTGTGGTGCCTTAAAGTATCAGCACTCTACAGCCGCTCTCACACCCGTAAAGCTGCAATAGGTACATATTTCAAATTGAAAACTGTCTAGAATCATTATAGCCTATCATTATATAACAATTAATCTACTAATATTTCAAACGATTTAGGAACTATCTTGAAACACCTGAAAACTTTAATTTGCTCTGAAACGCTTGAACAGATTCTACGAAATATTCCGTTCAATAATTTTCAGTCGCTGACGACGGCGATTGGTTGTCATGGTTAACTTCATCATTTGAGATAACGTTTGAGCGCAAAATTACTATAAATGAATTGTAATTTGGGTTATGCCTCTTAGAAAGTCTATTTCTATTACAAATGACTATTCCACGAATTACTCATAGGTAGTTATAAGTCTAAGCGTTCAAATGTGATAAAGGCAATTAACTTTATTTAATCACAACCCATTAGAAATTGAACCAAAACAATCCACCCTATAATTGAATGATTAAACATGTAGTTTTGAATTTCATTGTGAATTGGATGTGTAATTTAATGAGTGATGTGCGTGAAAACCTAAGAAACAAATATGTGTAATTTTCAGTTTTGATAAATATAAATGAAGATGGTAGAATAGTAGCGACACTGATGGAACTTATATGGATCCTCCGATTCCATATTTCTTATGTAATCCAATCCATAAAATGAATAAATCCATCCAATAAATGAAGTCATTCCGCCTGATATTAAGTGATCGTGGAATCCAGCCGTAATTATAGCTGGTGCAGCAGTTTTACCTGTCACACCAACCATCCTCAGTTGCTTATTGCAAGCAACCGTTTGTCGTATCTTAAAATATGGAATGTTTGAGAGTAGGTTATTCCATCGAAATCAATCTGTTAAAGCATCCACATGTGAGAAGTTGAAATCCGTGTCAGTAATTTTAATTATAAAACAATATTATGATGTATGATGAAGTTTTATTGGTCTTTATTATTATTTTATATCAAACACAACACACAACCTGCAGTAATAATAATATTAATAGTCCTCGTAAATAATTTTGTTGTTGCTCAATTTTTAACCGACTTCAAAAGAGGAGGTTGTTCTGTGTCGACTGTATATATATATTTTTAATATATGTTCACCGATTCCTCCGTCAATTGTGGACTGATTTCCTAAATTCTTTTTTATTAGAAAGAGTGCACTTCTGAGGTAGTCTCATTGGAACCAATTCAGGATCTGATGGTGGAATACTGCGAAATCGAGGAAAAACCTTCTTATCAAAATTATTATTACTTGGACGATGTAATTTTCACGATACTTTGTTATATGTACACCGATTACTTAAAGATTTCTGGTCCAATTTGAGTGATTATTCTTTTGTTAATTTTTTTTTATTTACTTTTAGCTCACAAAACAAGTTACAATTATATTAAAAAAAAACAAAGCAAATACAATAATAAAAAAACCAAACTGTAACTCTAAATATGTGGGCATAACATGATTAAATTTTATGGGCTGAAGTTTCAATTGGAGATAATTGCCGTTTGGTTCCAAAAAAAATACTTTGTTTGATTCAGTACTTTTTACTTGATGAGCATTTTTTTATTGTTAACTTGGACGTTGTAATTTTCACTAAAAAGGATGAAATAAAAATTTGAACAAAAAATAAAAGGGACTTCAAAACCGAAAATGGAACTAAAAAGTTAAACTAATATCTGGTTCATGATTTGGAAGTCGGGTGGGGTCAAGATTGAAACATTAAATAGATTTTCGTTTCTGATCCGTAATAATACGAATTTTGATCCGCCCGACTTCCAAATCATGAACCAGATATTAGTTTGATTTTTAAATCAGTTTTATTTTTTGTTTTAAAATACTTTCTTTGCATGGTTCATCATCATTATCGTTATTAAAGACATTGAAAATTTATACTGTGAGAAAGATAATTAGGTAGTACGTATATAGTAGAAATCTGATCCGTACAGCCACATTATTTGACTGGTCTTTAATCAAGCTTACGAAAATATTATTAAGTCCTATATTGCCCTTATTATAAATTGTCGTGTCCTTTTTTCCAATTGAAATCTGCATATTTATCTTGCTTAAAGTACTGTAAGTGAAAGAGAATTTATCATTAGCTTGTTACACAAAAACACATTTGAAACGCGATTTTTACGTGTTTCGAATCGTTGTTGGTCCAAGTTTGTTTTTTGGAGTTAGTCCAATTCAATTAGCGCAATCCCTGTTGTTCTCATTACTCAGCTTCGAATCCTAACTTACAGAATAAGCCAACATACAGTAAAACTAATATATTGACACCAACAAAGCACTTACCTAAGTAGGTGATTAATGGGCATTTCAAAACACATTTTACTCCAAGCTCTCACGTTCGTTTGATCCTGTCACGGTGTTTTGAAAATGCCCATTTTACTCCAGGTTCTCACGTTCGTTCAATTCTTTCGTTTTGAAAAAGCTCATTCTGAACGCTCGTACTGATTGCTACGTTGAAAACACATTTTACTCCAGGCTCGCACGTTCGTTCGATCCTGTCACGGTGTTTTGAAAATGCCCATTTTACTCCAGGTTCTCACGTTCGTTCTACCCTTTCGTTTTGAAAAAGCTCATTCTGGACGCTCGTATTGATCGCTACGTTGAAAACACATTTTACACCAGGCTCTCACGTTCGTTTGATCCTGTCGCGGTGTTTTGAAAATGCCCATTCTGAACACTTGTACTCATCGCTACGGCTCTATACTTCTTACACTGCGCGCGACGTCGGCCACAATAATTGTGAGCCAGAATACTCAATTTCAATTTGTTGATGATGGATGTGTTTATTTACTCTAGCAACGTAACATAATGTCATTTTTGTGACTCCCATGATACACAGTGGTCAAAGTAGTATACTAATATAATATTAGTAAAACAAAACACTTAAACTAAAAAGCAATTGTCCTGCAGAAAGTAACTCCCAAAAACGGCATGGTAACTTATTGCCAAATACAATACGTTGTATCGTTTGTGGTCCATCAAATGCCTCCACTGGACCGAATCCATCGCGACATCTCTACTCAAGTTCTGGTTGTACGCTGGATAACCCTGAAACGCGCGTGAAGCACTTCACGGGTTTTTCACCATGCGTACGGTGCTAGCAAACCAGGCGGGTGTTAGGCCCTACCCTACCACCAGAAGAGCAGATTGAAGCTCTGATATCCCTTTGTGGCTTCTTAAGACACCCGCGGGAAGTGAAGGGGCGGTGAGTGGTGTTCTTTCTCCGTCATCGCTAGGATAAATGGCCTCAGTTCCGTGACATGTGCTCAGCTGATTGGAAGAAACCTTATAGATATCTTGTCATAAATAAGGACTGTGAAAAAAATAACGCCTGCTACAGATTAACGTTTGACACATTTATCATAGTGGATTGAACTACATAAAGGGATAATAAATTAGTAATAATAGTGTTTTATTCCTGATTTGGAACTGAACAGAATCCTTAATAAAATGGAACAAGATCTCAAAAAACAATACGTAAAGCGTGAAAAAAGGCGAAATGATTGAAAATACTATGGTATTGGAAAAAAAATGGGTGCGTGTACTTATGTAGGCGCGTGAGAAGTTATCCTTCTTTGGCATCGTTTAAAATTAGTTTTTAATTGCATGCAAATAATTAATTACAATAAATTAATAAAAAGTCTGGAAAAGGACACAGTCAATAAAGTTCAGTTTTAATTTGAAAAAATAAATAAATAATCAAAATATTTAATTAAAATCGCTACTGAATATAATTTATTAGAACATATGTGATTTGCACTTGTATGAAACTCAAACACGTATTCCGAATATACAAACTAGAAACATGTGGATAAATATTATAAACTAGCGGCCCGCCCTCGCTTCGCTTCGGTGTAGAGCTGAAGTGTAGACTACAGTTTTTGTTCTCAGGCTTGTATTATACACAATGACATTCATCTATGATTCTTCGTATACCTGCATGCAAAGTCTCAGCCCGATCGGTTTAAAATTGATAAAGTTTCATACAAACTTTCATTCCTTATTTTATCCCCTTGGGATTTTCTTTATATTGTTTTCCGTAAGAACCTTGTACAGAGTATTAGAAAACTACAAAAAAAAAACAGCCAAATCGGTCAAGCCGTTTTCATGTTATGTCGTGACAACGGAAAACGGGTTTCATTTTTATATATATAGATATGAAAACAGTCTCTGTTCTAAATTCAAAACTCGTAACTTTTCCCGATGTTTGTGGCACGTGTTTCCCGCGCTAGGACCGCGAGTGGCCGCGCATGCGTACGGTGCGGCGGGCGACGCGGTAATGGCAGCGCGACACATCATGGTGTTAATTTTTTGTGTTACATGATGCGCGCGCATCTTAAAATTTCACTCTCAACAATTTTTCAGAACGCGCCTAAAGAAGTATAACTTCAAAAATTCAAGCCAATTGTTGAACCACTTAACTTATTAACAAATAAAATTGATAAATACAAAAGCATGTCGAAGAAGAAAATGAATACAAAACCCCTATTGATAAAAATAAAAAAAAACAGCAAAAGCGAAATATCATTTCATTCTAATGAATATACCGGTGAATCTGTTAATGAGGTAAAAGAAAAAAAAGAAGAGGATTTAGAAATTGCTGACGAGAAGTTAAACAGCGACTCTAACAAAACTCTTACTGTATGTATCGCTTTCAGAAGACCACAATTTGAGCGTCGCGTCATTTAAGTTTTTACAATCATCACCGAGTAAAAAAAAACATCTATGTCATGGTCTCTTTCTTCGGAAGTGATGAAAGACGTTCCCTTTGGAGTAATAAATGAGAGGGCAAGACTTATGCTAGGCCATACACGTGTCTTTGTATGTCTCCGAATTTTGAAAAAAAGGAAATCGTAGCATTAAAAAGACTGCAGGTTTGATGAAACTGTTATTCAAAAAGTTCACAAAATTAGCTTGTATCAGATGAAGATTTGCAATTGTACAAATTGCTTCTATTGGATACTAATGTTCACAGGCGTAATTATGACCTAAGCAAAACCCATAAATAGCAATAAAGGATTTAAGTACATGCAAATAAGACTACTATGATATTTTCAAGAAACGCAGCAACTAGCTTATAGCGTATTAAAATATTAAAAAGGATGAACAAGAACACGGATTTGGTTTACTGAGATGATCGTGAATCGTGAGTTCGTGGAACGTTTTAAAATTACTATATACTTCACGGGATGCTAGTAACACTGGATTATATAATGAAATCATTGCAATTATTGAAGAACTGCGGGGAAGCTGGCATTATCTTAAATCGTAAATATATATAATACTCTTTATTGAATCATATAGTAAAAACATATAGTCAAATACATAGTAAGCAACGGTGGGCTTATCTCTAAAAGAGAGAGAATATGTAGAGCGTTCAACAGGAAAATTGCTCAGTATAAATAAATTGACGACAGCTGCAATGAATATAGACAAGTTTAGTCACCATGTTTATAAGCGATTGCAATTAGCAGAATATATTGAAAATAACAGCGATACTTTTATGAAATCAGACTCGGGGTATTATGGTTTAATATCTCCAAGTGAAGACGAACAGTCAATAAGGCTTATTTGGATAAAACAGTTCAAGAACTCTTAAATGAATTAAAAGACGTTTTTAATAATGTAAAACTTTATCTTAATAATTTGGAAAAAGTGACTTTGGAGAGTTTGAACAAATCATTTTACACAAAAACCGAAATAAATCATTTTATTGAAGCTAAATTAAATAAAAAAAAAAAGTAAAAAAAGACATATTCAAGAAAAAGAAAAAAAGGTGTCATTAGTCAAATTTTATCACTGATACAAGAAAATAGCCTACAAAATGAGTAGCTGCTTAACTTTCTCCGTTAAGTGTGTTTGTATGATCCAAATGTTAAATGTCTCAAACACACATTCAAAAACAGTTCTTAGGCTTTTCAAAACACCGCGACAGGATCGAACGAACGTGGGAGCCTAGAGTCAAATGGGCATTTTCGAAACCCCGCCACGGGATCGAATGAAGGGGAAAGCCTGGAGTAAGATGTGTTTTTAAATGCCCATTAATCACCTACCTAGTTCGAATTATTTGATTATCTATCCAAAACGTGGAATTTGCTAAATAACCTTTTAAAATAACGAGTTTCTGGAACACAATGCTTTGCATATTTCAAGCTAATTGTACTGCTTAGCAAATTTTATAGATAATGCACCGAGTTGCCAATAAATTTTAAAATAATTACGCAATATTGTATAAGAGATAATATTTTCTTTTTAAGGAAAGACTTGATTCAATAGCTTTAAATGTGTTAAGTAAAAAATATCAGTCATAGCTAACAACGACAATATTTCTCACTCCGAAATCGAAAGAGAACCATTTTTATAACGTTTCACCAAACCTCTATATGACGACATGCAAAAATAAAATTCAAAAGCTCTCGCCGCGCAAGAAATAACATTATTCAATTTTAAAGGGAAAGAGTTATTTTTACAAATTTAAAACCTTGATAAAAATGCTAATGCAGTTATGCAACAAGCAAGACGCTCACGTCGTAAACCAGTTCACAACTTGGACTTGCTCCAATTTCATTACAGCAGTCCGTGGTGGCATCACCGGCCCTAGGTTCCTGTAACTTTGCTAACTGCAAATTTGCTACGCAGCGCAGTCAAGACAGGGCAAAAAACAAATACAACTAGCGCTGTGGCAAAATTAAGCACTCAATTGGCGACAGATTCGGTACCGAAGGGGTAAAAAACTACTTGTAACATTTTAGGATTGGTAATAATTTTATTGTTCAGAAACAGTAGTAAATATGCTTTTGGTTTGACATTTAGATACCTACTGTTTAATATTCCTGTGGTTATTGCGTTTGGCCTTTTTATTTAGCGGTACCATACACCAATAATATTGTTCAATGTCGATCAGTAAGTACATCTAAATTTTAGGAATAATATATAAAAACTAATTGGAAGGTTAAAGTTAAAGGTTATCTAATAAAAGAAGGCCAAATGCATGAGACTTTTTAATACAGCAAATTGATTTTGAAGAAAGTGATGAAAAAATATTGCTACAATTTTACAATACTTTTTAAAGAATACTTTTAATATTTCGCTATACAAGCTATCTCTTTTCCATCCATAATAATTGGAAGGGGTACTTATATTCTTTTCGATTTGCTTCTAAATATATTGTTTCTTTTGAATCAAATAAACCTTGGAAATCGCTACCAAATTCCTCTTATTTAAAATTACTGTACTTATACTATTACCAACTACAATACTGTTACCATCTTAAAACAAAAAAACTTACGAGTTACATTTAAAGTCACAGTGTCTCAGAAATTAATTTTAAAAGTAACTAGTCGTACCTGTGCAGTTCCAGTGCCAGATGCCAGGACAATTTAAGTCTCCTTTGGAGAAACTTCGCACCTGAAGACGCTATCTTGGAAGTTGGAATGTAATAAAAAACAATAAAACTTTTACAAAACCATTCTCAAGGAAATCATGGCAGACAATAACGACACTTCTTGTTAAATTTGATTTGCAAGTTGAAAATTCAAAACTGTGTTTCAAACTGTGGAACTCTTCAATATGCGAAGTTCGGCATCTGACTTTTTGCTTTGAGACATATGCTCAAAAACTAATACTCACTTCAAACTATTGGGAAACGATGAATAACAAACGTATGGCTAGTTTCAGACTGCTGTGTGTAGCTATCCAGTGAATGCTTACTACGATTCTGATATATCCTTCCTTCTTAACACGTAATACCGCCTAAGACAAAACTACAAGCTCCAACCCACCACACATTAGCATGTACAGCACAAATAATTTATGCGTAGAAAACTATTAGGGTTTCTTAACATGAATTATTCGCTGCGTACCTACATATCTGTACCCCTAGCACGAACCAATATCGAATTTGTAACGTTTGCGAGTCCGAAATGTCAATGTAAAATTTTGTATGGAAACTTGAACAGCAGCGCCACCAAGTACGTAACGAGAACTAAAAATCAGTACATATTTGACAATGACAATTCGAACTCGCAAACGTTACGAATTCGATTTTGGTTCGTGCTAGGGGTATTGTATACGGTGTTAGTTACACTTCAATCAAATCCAAAAAAATGAAGTCGGCCATGGATGCAGCTTATCGAAAAAAAGGCTGTCGTGGTTTGCATTTGCTCGGAAATAAGAATCACCCTTATAATTCCACTTCTTCGCTTGATTTAAGGATGATATTTCTATTTTATTCAGGTGTCTTGGGTGCGGCACCGGGACATCCACCTGCTTACGGTGGGCCGATATACGTACACGTCGGACCAGAGGTTTGAAGCTCAGCACAAGCCCCGCTCCGAGGAGTGGGCGTTGCGCATTCGCAGCCCTCAGCGCCGCGACTCGGGCCAGTACGAGTGCCAGATATCCACCACGCCGCCTGTGGGACACGCTGTCTTTCTCAACATAGTTGGTAAGTCCAGTCTACGTTCCTACAATGCTCCCATGTAATTCTTATTGAGGTGTCCTGAATGATGTGTTTCTCAACTCAGTTTGTGAGATATGCTACTAAATAAGAGGTAGTGTTCGCCTGAATAATGTTACTAAATACTGCATTCAAATCAAGGGTGACTGATTTATTGGGATTAGTTTGTAAATTTGAGTTAGGTCATTAGAATTCAAGCAGTAAAGGCAGTCTACGTTATCACAATGCTACCAAGAAATTCATGTTTAGTTGTCCTGAATGCTGTGTATCTGAACATAGTTGGTGAGTTATGCTATGCAAAATAAATGCAAGGTAAAGTGTTCATATTAAAGAGATCGCCTGAATAATGTCTTCGAGGACTGTATTAAAAAATCGATATTCAGTGAGATTTCTTTGTAGACTTGAGTAAGGTAAGGAGCTCAAGCGTTAAAAGGATGGGTTAGTACCCGTACTATTATTATACGATACTTCAAGTATCTTTACTATCCTACTTCCTAGTAATCATTATCATTATATATAATAAAACTAAGTTGATAAAATTCAAAAATGAGTCCCGGCACGATAAAGGGACTAATATAGTGTGATAGCCCCCTCGAACAAGAAAGTTCCCGTTTTAAACTAAAGCGCGTGTTTTTAAAGATATAAGGAATTTTTCAACCCTTCAACTTGAAAATTAAGTGTATTGGCGCCATCTGTTGTCGAGTATTTGAACTTTAAGAAGGTGTGCCAAAAAAAATATTCTCAAACTTTCTCGAATATCCTAGAGCCTAGCTCTCTGAATATATAAGAGCCCGGTGTCGCCCGCCAGAGTTACTTCGATTTGAACAGCGAAACAAGCGATTTCGAAACGAAAACGAAAAGAACTTATCTGTGAGCATTTATTTTGAAGTATCACGTAATCTCATATTAACTCCCGGGTATCATAGCTAGTATTATAATAAACGCGAAAGTTTGTAACTCTTTTACGCTAAAATTAATTTTCATTCAAATCCATTCAGCCCGATTCGAATGAAAATTAGCATATTGTAGTTATTTACTGACAGATAGGATACTTTTATCCGGCAAAATATTAGTTTCCCGTGGGATTTTAACAAAAACTAATTATAACGCGAACGAAATCACGGGTGGAACTCGTAAACAATATATTATTGCTTCATGTCAAAGGATAATGAAATATGTATACTAAAACGACATATTTTAAAGACTTTTACCATAATAATAAAGGTGATATAATCAAACAGGTTTCTATCCTTCAAATTACTATCGGACATGAAGTAAGTTTGTTATTATCATCAAAATGGTATTTGTTTACGACCAATATCAGGTTTATGTTAGTTTGCTTAGGAGTAACCTTTGTGGTGGATGTTATGGGGTCATGGGTTGTACAACATAATAATAACATGTGTACTCATAAGATCGTTTTATAAAGGTTGTTTATTATGTAGTTTTTTTTTTTTTATGCTAGATAGGCAATGCGTTTGACCACAATCTCACCTGATGGAAAGCGATGATGAGGCCTAGGGTGGTACACGCCTGCCTAGAAGATGCCTGTTCACTCTGGCCTTGAAGATGTCCAGGTTATATTGGTCCGGGAAAACAGACCTCGGCAAGGAGTTCCACTCCCTAGCCGTTCGTATAATGAAGGCCGAAGCAAATCGCTTCGTGCGAATGGGAGGAACTTCGACAACATAAGGGTGGAAGCCCTCGCCGCGCCTGGTCGTCCGGTGGTGAAAAGGGGAAGGGGGGATCAAATTATGTAATACCTCCGCACACTCTCCGAAATGTAACCGATAAAACACCGAAAGGCAAGCTACACGTCTTCGGTGGTCAAGGCTCTGAAGATTAGCCTCAATGAGAGCGTCATTGCCTATGAGTCTCTTCGCACGGTGTTCCACCGAGTCCAGTACATCCAGCTGATACCGAGCAGATCCGTCCCAAAGGTGACAACAGTACTCCAAGCAGGAGCGAACTTGGGCTCGGTAAAGGTTAAGGAGCTGCTCAGATGTAAAGTATCGCCTGACCTTAGAAAGTATTCCAAGTTTTCTGGCAGCGGTTTTAGCAATGGACTCGATGTAGCGACCGAAATTGAGGCTGGATGAGATGTCCATACCCAAGAGCTCGAGATGGTCTTTAACCGGCACGGAGACATTTCGGAAAGTCGGAGTCAGATGGAATGGACTCCGTTTCGTCGAGAAGAGACAGGCCTGTGTTTTAGAGGGATTGAATCCAACCAAGTTGGCTTCACCCCAGAGGGAAACAGCTTCTAGGGTTGCATTCACTCCCTCCACCATCGCCTCCCTTAATGATCGGACATCTGCATCAGACTTCACATCAGGTAGATATCTCCCCGAAACTGTGCTGTCGTCTGCATACCCAAAGATACCGGGAGTTAGGAGCAGATCATTGATGTGCAGCAAGAAAAGAGTTGCGGAGAGGACAGATCCCTGGGGGACACCGGCATTAATACCAAGCAGATCCGACGATGTGCCATTAATGACCACTCGTATCGATCTGCCCCTCAGAAAATCTGCAATCCAGTTGCAAAGTCCGACAGCGATTCCATATGAAGGAAGCTTGCCAATGAGACTTGCATGCCAGACCTTGTCAAAAGCCTTAGAAATATCATGAGAAACGGCGAGAGCTTCGCCGCGTTTCTCTATGGCTTCACTCCATAAGTGGGTAGCATACACAAGAAGATCCCCAGTAGATCGCCCACGGCGGAATCCGAATTGGCAGTCACTGAGTAGATCGTTATCTTCGAGGTAAGCGAGGAGACGGTTGTTCAATACACGTTCCATAATCTTACAGAGTATGGAGGTGATTGCAATAGGTCGATATTTGGCAGGGTCGGCACGACTACCCTTTTTGGGCACTGGTTGGACATTGGCAAGCTTCCAGGTTTTCGGAACTTGGCCAATCTCAAGGGATAAGCGATATAGGCGAGTCAGAATAGGAGACAACTCAGGGGCACAATTCCGCAGGACAATAGCTGGAATGCCATCGGGCCCACTGGCTTTATTCACGTCTAGAGTGCTTAGCGCTTTGAGTACCTCTTTCTGATGGATGCGAACTTCCAACATGGTAGAAGAACACTGAGGAAGCTTAGGTGGGTTTACGCCAGCAGCATCTAGCTGTGAGTTGTTCGCAAATATAGAGGCAAACAAGTAAGCCTTCTCTTTGAAGGTGTGAGCCAGCGATCCGTCAGGCTTAATTAAAGGCGGCAGCGACGACCGGCAAAAATTGGCTTCGACTGTTTTGGCTAGGGACCAGAAAGCCTTGCTTCCGGATGGAAAGGAGGCTAATTTGGCTCCTATACGGCCAATGTGATCGAAGCGGGCCTTGCGGAGAACACCTTTGCAGGACTTGGCGGCACTGTTAAAGGCCTTCTTCAGACTTCGAACATTTGGTGATTTGCGGGCTCGAGCATCCGCCCAGGAGCGATACGCAAAATGCTTAAGCGCCTCTGCTTTAGCACAGTCCGCGTCAAACCAAGGGCGGGCGCTAAACCGGCGCGGTACGTCAGAGTATGGAATAAAGTACTCCATAGCCTGACGCATGACGTCAGCAATGGCATCCGCGCAGCAAGTCGGGTCGTCCGAAGATAAGCAAGTGCGACGCCAAGGATAAGATGCAAAGAAATGCCGCATCTCATCCCAGTCTGCTGAACCATATCGCCAAACACGCCTAGTTCCGATAGGTTCCGTGTCGCTTGGAGAGTAGACTGATACGGACTTCACCAAACAGTGGTCGGAACTCCCTAGAGGAGACGAAATTACCACCTGGTAACGGTCCGCGTCTGTTGACAGCAGAAGGTCCAGGCAGTTTGGTGTGTGGCCATCAATATCGGGTACACGTGTAGCGCCCTTCACAAGCTGGGAGAGACCTAGCGACATAGCAAATGTGTGCGCTAATCTCCCGGCATGGTCGGTTTTCTGGAACGGGAACAACCACTCATGGTGGTGTGCGTTAAAGTCCCCCAGAACGACTAGCTGCGCACTCGGGTACCTTTGCTGGGCTGTTTCAGCGGAGGCGCTGAGGTACTGAAAAAACCTGGTTGTCTCCATGTTCTCTGTGTGCGACCGATAAACACTGGCATAGAGTATTTGCTCTATACCTGTGTTCACCAGCACCCATAATGTAGAGAAACTGGGATCCTCAAGGTTGCGGAGATGTTGGCAGCAGATGTCATCACGAGCATACACGCAGGTGCCAGCGCGCGATTTAAAATTGTGCTGCAGGATGTAACCTGGGTAATGAAAGTAAGCTGCGTCAGTCGGGCATCTTATTATAGGTAGATACTAGTAAAATATCCTTTCACAGACAATACAATATAGGTGTTCCGAGAAAACAAAAAACTTTTTCTCGTTTATATTTCAGTTAAATAAGTGTCTTAAGAGAGGAGGCAGGCAATGTATTTTCCATACAAACGCTCTCGACTGATTCCTCTCTGATTTTCATCACGAAAGAATTTCCATGCTACTATTATATCGTTCCTTTTTTCGATAACTTATAAACATAAAGAAACAACAAGCCCTCAAAAATGCAAAAATAAACAATTTTTTATCACCACTAGCGACGTCTAGTGTGGAGATTTAATAATAATTTACAAAAAATACAAAACATAAAGGCCTAGTATAACTACTACTATTTATTTTAAATATATGTGATTTTCGAGGAGTAAATCGTCGAGAACCAAACCTCGCATTTTGCATTTATTTTTACGCATATTCCAGCGTTAACTACTGTTGTTCCTATTTCTCAAATGTTTCTCAGCTGGCGTCCGCTCTTAATGTGAATGCTTGAGAACAATATTTGATAATCAGAAATTATATCACTAGTATTTATTTTAAATATATGTAATTTTCGAGGAGTAAATCGTCGAGAACAAAACCTCGAATTTTGCATTTATTTTTACGCATATTCCAGCGTTAACTACTGTTGTTCCTATTTCTCAAATGTTTCTCAGCTCGCGTCCGCTCTTAATGTGA